TCGGCACAATGTTTTGCCTCATTGCGATGTTGCCTGAAAATTTTGAACAGAAGGGATCACTGCTCATGCTGGTGCAGCAAGACATGTAAGGAGATGGCCTGGTCACAATCCAGCAGTCATATATCGACAATCTCAAGCTATGACAACTCGTTACATGTGTCTGTAATAAAAAAGGGACTTTGCGATGGTGTGGGGAGCTCTTTGAGTGGTGGGACTGTGGAAATCCAGTTTGTTTCGCCCGTAACAAGTTTGTTACGGGCGAAACAACGTCCCTCTGAAACGTTTGGATATGCCTATGCAACACATTTCCTCAATTTCATGAACTGCAAGTATTCTAATCCAACATCACCCCAATCTCAGTGTAAACTAGTCTCCAAATGTGCCTGCACAAGACTGTCACCCCTGTCACCCGGCATTCACATTGCCTTAACCTCCTAAGCTTGTCGGGGTGTGACACGTGGGCATGAACCTTGTGACAATGGGCATTGTCACAAAGAAACTGGTTGCAATCAGAAATGCATTTTTCCTCATGCCAGGTTACCGACATCGGTTACCGATTACTGGGGACGGTTAACGGATAACGGTTCGCTCGGTAATCCTACCGACCGGTTACCCATCTCGTTAACTGGACCCGTTAGGTCGGAACCGGGCCGGAACCGGCCTGGAGTATGCCATTGGGAAGATAAGCTAACCAGCCAAACGCGCGCATAAATGACGGCCCTGAGGACACGAGCCGTTGCGAGACAGCTAGACTAACAGTCACGCATTGGGCCTTACGCCCAACTAACCCAGCTTAAGGCAAGCTCGCATTAAAAAGCCAAGTCAAAACTTGGATGAACTGATTTCAAGGTTGTTTATACCATTCAATATTTTATTATATTTATTCATGCAATTCAGGAAACATCAAAAAGGCTACGTATTTCAATAAAGTTCTAGTACCGGTTACAATTAATGTACAAAAGCAATTTTTTTATTGACAACACAAAATATATGATCAATATCTGATAACCAGCGTAGCAGCAGCATAATTATCTTTTGTCTGGAATTCTGTAATACCATTTTTGACGTTTAAATATATACCATTTAAATTATAGCGGGTTTCTAGTTTTTCCTGGTAATGAGATAAAATAGTGTTTTGGGGGCCCCTCTACTCCATCGCAAACCTAACCTCGCCACCAGGGTTTGGGTAACAGACTCAGTGGACGCCATATAGCAGCTATGTATGATGCATCATACATAGCTGCTCCGAATTCTGCACTGAGGGGCAACAAAAAACTAGCCGCCTGTCGCCAGTCTGCTGGGAGAGCGCCAATAGCACTATACCCTTTGTGCCTTTTGCAAGTGGAATGATGAGTATAGAGATATATGAGCATTTGATAGCAACAAGCCTAAGACATCACAGGCCTGCTGGTTCATCACCCGGAGATGCAACTCCAGCGACAAAATGTGGGCGGGGAAGGTGCTGGGCTTGTACCGCTACAGGTCGCCATTGAACAGGGATAAGTTCGATGTGGTGCTGGAGGTCGAATGGCATGCTCCCCTGCTGGGGAACAACAGTGATGCCGAAGTTGCAGTCAACCAGTTCATGAATGTCCCCTTGGTGGACACCAGGGCTGCCAGTGTGTCCAACACAGGCTCTCGTTACTACCTGGCTGAGGATGTTGCGCCTTGCCGAGTGCACATCTTGCCACACCCCAGTAAGCGGGCGCCCTGTGTGTTCTTTCAAGAAGCTACAGCTTCATGCGGGTGGCTGGCTGGGAGGCCCTGCAGCCGCAGACCCCATGGGCGAGGTCACGGTAGCAGCACATTAATATTAGCGCTGCAAGACCTCTGAATCCCTTGTGGCTTGCTCTTGAGGGGCAATCGTTAGTAACACATTGGTGGAGTGGAGGGCAAATCGTGGGGACTGGTGGGCATGGTCGCCCAGGCCCTCGAATGGTCGGACCGTGGCCTGGGCAGGGCTTCTCAATGGAGGTACAGCTGATGGTATGGCTGATGGATAACCGAATGAATGTTGTGCACAGGGACGTATTGTGAAGTAATAGGTAATGGGAGTGGCACATTACTATGCAAATCGACAGAAATTGCTTGGGGCCCGTTCCATATGTTGACTGACTAAATCCTTCGTTGGATAGTTGATTGTTGGGGCATGTCTGCTTCGCTTGTATACTGGGGCGACTTTCTGGTGCCAGCCAGTACTAGTTTTCGAAGGGCCTTACCCGCGGGTCCAGAGCAGTAGGGGCCCTCATGGTCGGTCTTGTGGATGATTTCAGCACTATGAACTTATTTCAGAATACAGGACTGACTCTCTGTTTCCTGCTTGAACTATATATGGAAGGGGCAAACCACTGTAACTTAAGCTTGTGCGTGTTTCTGCTAAGTTTTCCGCACTGTTGCATTCTCAAAGCCATTCTTTCGTAAAACCGTCATAAGAATGCTTGAGACTGGCATAAGATCATTCTCAGCAGCACCAGCATTCTCAAGCCGTTCTTAGCATTCTTAGCGTTCTCAGGAACATTCTTTAGCATGCTTCCATTTTGGTAGGGTTAGGAAAACCTAAATTAGTAGGGCCCCAGCGTTTGGGACTATGGAACTATAGCAGGCTTTCGGCTACCGTACTGCTATTGTACATTCCTGATATTCATTTTGCCATGAAAAGCCATGAAACGATTACACCCTACTTCTAGGCTGCTCAAGCAGACCAAGTTAATCTTCCGATTCGTCTATTTTTGGACTACCAACTTTCGATACCGTCCCGAATTGTGATAACACAACTGCAAAATCTGCTCGTGGCTGTCCCGAAATGGCAATGTCACGTAAAAACTCCAGCCCCATTTTCATTGCCACCCTGAATTGTAATATCAGGAATGTACAATAGCAGTACGGTATTGTAGATTGTAGAACACTCGGAGGCCCTAAACACAGATCGAAGGCCCTAGCATCAAGGTGCTTAGTCGTAAGTTACTTTGTTTGCAAAATTTACAAGCCTCCAAAAATTCTATTCCTAATCCCTTTGTGCCTTTCGTAGGTGGAATGATGTCTTTGAGCTAGTGGGGTCCGTGGCTGGAGGCAATGTCTAGAAATCCATAAGACACGACAGGCGCGTCCTGGCCACATGGCCAATATTGGCGCGCCTTGCAAAAATCTTCGCGCCTAGTAGCCGCTCCGGCAGAAAGCCGGATTGCCCGCGCGTGACCCACCCATCCCATGGTTGGACCAAACCATTAGCATTTTTTGCCAAGTTCCTATAGTCCGTACCTAACAAGGTAATCGGCCGATAACTACCTGGCGAAGATCCCTGGTTTTCATTGTAACCGTGATGACCTGCTTATGAAAGGCGCTACCCGGTCTATTGCTGATCGATGCTAACCAAGGAGCACGGAAGAAATGAGCGAATGAGCTGCGCATGCAACCTGTGCACCGGTAGTGAGCATGCTCAGCCTGTTTCAATCGTGCTCTACATTGTATCGGGCTCCTCTAACACCGGGGTGTTGCTGCTCGGGGGAGGCATCACGTCATATCGAGCAGACCGAGACTAACCACAGAGAAGAGAAAAGAACGAGCTGAGCATACAGTTACAAGTTACAGTTACAAGTTCCGCACGCAAGTATTGTATTGTATTGTATTGTGGTTACAGTCTTTCCGCCGCCGACGCGGCGGGTGCCCTCACGAGCCGTGAGGCTCCAGAGCACGCTGTTGACGCTCATCAAAAACCTCAGTAAGGAAAGTAGCGATTTTCCTCGGATTGGTATTAAGAAATACCTTGCGCATATCAGTATCTTCAACGTTAATCAGAAACCTATTACGCAACTCAGTATACGCCTCACACTCCATAAGCACATGATATTCATCCTCAACCTTACCCGACGTACAGACCTGACACGTACGGCACTCTCTCGGCCTATGGTGCCCTTTGTTGACCTCCAAAGGCCAACAACAAAGACGGAATTTGGCAACCATACGCAACTGGTTGGTGTCGCTGACGTGCCTCTTGAATTAACCGATCAGGTTTGCTAGCTTCGGTATAGGGAGGAAGGGAAGAGTCTCTGGGTAGTTCATGATCGGCAGTCAGACCTAACTCTGAAGGACACCACCCTGCGTGGGGTTCCCAGCTCGAAGTGTCCTAGGTTAGCCTGGAATGGACTGCCTGGCACGGACATGATGAGCTATGAGGGATCTTTGTTGATCATGGTTGATCTGCTCTTATGACGCCGGGCACACGCCAGGAGAAGACGTTCCGCTTGACTCCAGTCTATGTTGGATTATGCCCCCCCCTTGGGGGGAAGATGTGTATGTCGGCACTAAGACGGCAATAATGCCTAACGGTGTTTGTGTGTGCGATTTCCCCTTGACCCATCTATATTACACGTTCGTGGGACCGCCCACAGTCACTTCAGGCGGCTCCACGCCGGGTGGTTGGGGCGGGGGGGGGGGGGAAACAAGAGTGAGGCGGTAGGAATGAGAAAGAGAGGAGAATGCGCGCAGGGCGCGGGTGGCTGGGGCGGTGAAGCGGGCGGCACAGGAAGGGGAACAGTGGTACATACTCTAGATGCTGCACTCGTCGCTGACGTGCGCCCAGCTACCTTGGCTGTGTACGGTGGACGAGCGCTTAGGCTTCAGTTATGGCATTTTCAGAAGTACTGGATACGGTGAAGGTGGTTGCTAAGGTTGTACGGGTCCAAAGTGAGACGAAGGTTGCTTTTGGTGGGAGAGGAAGTGTGGAAGGTATGTTTTTATTACAGAGACTTAAGGTGCTTGATAGAGATTTGAGGCGTTTATTTGGCCAGGATCAGGCCCAATCTTGCCATCGTTCGGAGACAGTCGGTGTGTAGGCGCGCCGCTTCTCCCACCCGGAGAGGAATTGTCATTCCCCCCCCCCAGTCGCGGTGCGCCTAGCTTCCCTCGTGATCGCTATCGGGCGAGGCCCATTCGGAAGAGATAGTGGTCACGGGATGGTTGCAGCTAGAACAGGTGGGAGATACAGAGAGGGGGTGCTGAAAGGGCAGGCAACGGCATTGGTAGACTTTCTCTAGATCTCCAGGCAAGCAAATTTCCTGGAGGTTCCTGTGTCTACCTTCGCAATCTACATCTGGCAGCTTGCAGCAACTCGGCAAGCGGCACCAGGTTGAGGGCGGGGAAAGCCCCGAAAGAAATCCAGATGGGTAGGGATCACGCACGGATAACCTATCCGGAATCCGCGGATAATCCCGCACTCATGGCCGTGCATGCAACGGCTTCACGGCAGGCAGAACACCCTTTAAGTCGCGCAGCAGGGTCACGACGGGAATGAGGACCGGGGTGTTGGCGGCAGTCCATTGCAAATAGCGACTAGGCGCCAACAATTTGTTCTACTTAAGGGCCACAGCATCCGGCTCAGCATGACCCTGCCGGATGAGAATCTGGTGATAAGTGAGCGATAACCGTTGACCGGCAAATCTCCCAAGAACTCCCGCAATATGTCACCACATTCTAAGGATTCTTTTGAATCAGCAGGTTGTAGGTGCTGCAAAGGTTAAAGATGGCCCATGCACAAAGGCGGCGCATGGCAGACCCTTGGGTCCCAGCTTGGCGAGATCGTCATAGCCGTGGCTGAAAGCGCGAACCCGAGCATTACACAACAGCTTGTGCAAATCATTTGAATATCTTGCTTTCGATTAGCCCACCCACCCACCCATTGATTATTCAGCGAATTATAATTCCAGCGTTTATGGGAACCGGTAAATTACCCGTACTTCACACCGTACTTGGCCCTTCGTTGTCGGCGGTGAAGCGGGCGGCACAGGAAGGGGAACAGTGGTACATACTCTAGATGCTGCCCTCGTCGCTGACGTGCGACACGCGGATCACCCCCTTGGCTGAACTGATCCCAGTCACTTAAAAGGAACGCAGATAACCTCTCCAGAACCTCACCCACTCGAATCAACTGAGACGAGTACACATCTACCTTCTGAGAGACGGAGTCACACGCCGGCCACTCATGACCCAACCAACGCAAAACGATGAGCACTTTAGACGACCAGCAATCCAGCGACCCAGCAAGTGCGGGTGTGTCCGTAAAAGCCGGGGGGGGGCATGGATGTTATACTAGTATTGATGCGGGTACACGGGAGGCCATCATCATCCTCCCTCGTTCACTTCAGGGTGAAGCGCCTCAGCGCGACGTGCCTGGCCTCCCAGATTTCCGAGAGGTACCTGGGCAATGCCACGGGTGGCGCCTCAGTCATAATGGTGCGCATGCTGCACCCCTCAAAGACTAGGTCACCATCGTACTTAGCCCGTATGCTCTTGTAAGCGGGGCATTCATCAAAAACGTCCAATCCATCTTCAACCGCTCCACAGTCACAAAGCCTGCAGGTACACGTGGTGCACTCACGCCCATTAGGCCTATTAACCTCTAACTCCCAACAACCTAACCGGAAACGCATGAGCACTTGATGTAGTCGCCGGGGCATGGTCACTTTAGTGTGCTCTAACCAATCGAGACGCGGCGGGGCCGCTCTAATTCGGTTCATATAGCGACAAGCCTTGGCTCCGGTGATCCCTATGGGGAAAACGGGGGGTCACCTAAGGTATTCGGACACTCCCACCGTGCATCAAGCCGCTTCGCAAATAGTTTAAGAATGCTCTCGACTGGCAGGGTGGCGTAATGCACTATGAGATCATCACCGCGCGTATTAGTGGGGGGTTCCGCTCCTACGCTAGTAAGAAAGGCTAGTAACTTGCTTGTCCAGCACTCAGTAATGCCAACGAGTGCCGATTCCAGGACAGCGACAAATGCCCGATGACACAGCGTTCCCGGCCTCTTAACCACGGAGATCCAAAACCTAAGTACAAGATTGGTCTAATGGAACCGAAGCGGCCTTTGCGACAGTTCACGATATAGGGAGGTCATAGTCGGGCTCCTCGCCCCAACTACAGATCGCGTGTACGCAAGCTGCTCCTGGACCATGGGATTAGTCATAGCGCCCTCAAAACTCACATTTATGAAGTCAGGTCCCCAATCTTGCGCTCTATAAGAAAACACCAGTAGAACAGTATATTACAGAGACATACATATGGCTGGTTGCTGGCAGAAGTTAAGGCCAGACTTCTGCTCCCAGCAGCTCAGGTCCAAATCCGCCTGCCGACCTTTCGGGTGTGTGAGGGGTGTTGTAATGGGAGGTGGCCCCCCGTCATGAGGACGGTGTAGGACGTGATGATACCATTCTGCGAGCTGATAAGGGACTCAATTGCTGGCGGTTAATCCGCTAGATTAGATTGAATGCTGGTGGTGACTCCAACGAATGCAGTCTGAAGTTGGATGGGGTGAATGGACTAGGGTGCCTCTCTCGCAGGGGAGAGCAGGGAACTGCCTCGGGAAAGGGGGCTGCCGGTGAAGCTATACCGTATCGCTATGGCCGATTGGTGATTTCTGGATTGGTGAAAGTAAAAAACGCTTTGAATCCGGGCTGAGCAGCTAGCCAGACCAAGAACCGGGACGAGAAACCCAAAACGCGTTCGTTACAGTACAACTAATACGAACAAGGCACCGGGGACGTGGACATATGGTTGGGGAGAAGAGACGCCCAGCCTGCCTGCCAGAGCCCGCATGCTACTTCGTGCAGCCCTTCCGGGCTACCGTGCTCTTCCGCATTGGTAACCAGCAGGCAGCCGACGGCCTCGCTTGGGTTACTTTGGCCCCACACCTAACCCAGCGAAACATCCCCCCTCACCCAGTCGCGTCACATTCGCTCCACCACTGTCCGCCTCACAGCAACGGACCGGCGGATGTAGACCAGCACCGCATCAGACCTCCACCACCTGTGCGCCTTAATCTCCTCCAGACCCACCCCAGCATTGGCAGCCGCAGTGGCCCCCCCCTTGCGCAAGCTGTGGGCCGATATCCTAGCGAGATCTAGCCTCAACTCTGGCTTGTACCCCTGCAACTCACCCAGCAACACATGCAGCCTACTAGTGAAATCCCCGCGCCGCCACGCCGTGCCCTGATTGCCCGGCCCAGTGATTCCCCGTACGAAGAGCGGGGAGTGATCCTCGGCCGTCCGCACACACTCCAGGTGCCGCTGTACTATGCGAGCGATGGGGATGCCGCTCTGGGTGATTGCTGCCAGGCACACCAACGTCCCCGCTCCCTTCTGGTCCGTCTTGCTATGTACGATCTGCAGCCCCACACCCCCTCCCGGCAACTCCTCAATGCAGCCCACTGTCAGGGCCGCCAACTCGCTCCTCCAGAGCATCCCAAAAAACCCCAAAACCAGCCAGCAGGCGTCCTGGGTGAACTCCGTCGCCCTCCGCAGCTCCGCATTTGCCCTGCACCGTAGCCACGCCACGAGCAGCCTCAACACTCCCAGGGGCAGGGGTGCCTTTGCCATGGACGGTGCCGACTCCGGCCCCGCAGCAGTCCTCCGCAACGCTTGGCCCAGGGTTCGCTTGACCAGCGGGTCACGGCTGATATATGCCTCTGGCGAGACCCCCATGAACCGCTGCCAGTCCGCCAGGGCGCTCAGTGTGCCAGTGACGGTGGAGGCCGCGTACCGGCCAACTACATGCACTATGAACAGACACACCAGGCCCCGATTGAGGTCAGACCCACACTGGCGGGGCAGGGTGTCCGCCTCCGGCACCCCTGCGACCTCCACACAGAAGTGTACAAAGCCCCGCCGCCCCAACTCGTACATGACTGAAGAGCTGTCTGCGACCACGCTGCCATATAACGCCACGGCTAGCCGTGCTAGTTCCTCCGTAACACTCCCCTGGGCCACTGATCCGATACCCGCCGCCGCAAGCAAGTGGTGCAGCGGTACCACCCACCGGGGTAGGCGCCTGGGGCGATTCCAAGGCACCGATGATGAGCCGAGCAGGGGCAGGCCTCACAGCACAGATCCCCAGCTCCGCAGCAACGCCTGCAGACGGAGCAGCTTCCCTCCTCCTGGAGACCGCCTGCCGGCACTGGCCAAGGGGGGATGCGGGGCAATATAATTGAGCCTGAGCACAATCAAGTCGTACTCGCTGGGCGTGGCCTCGGCCCCCCATGGGAAAAGGCAGCGCTGTCGGCCCTTGGGCAGGACAGCCGATACCACATACAGGGTTGCCCCTTGCCCGGTGCCCACGATGAAGCACCGAAACCATGAGCACTCTGGCCAGTTTGGCACGATGACAGTCGCCTGTGTGCTCTGGTCGAGCCTCGCAGCTGCCATGATCTCGAGCAGCACCTCCCCGACCAAATCCTTGGGTGGGAAGGCCCACAGGACTTTGCCAGCGAGGGTTGCCGCCTGACCCAGCACCAACTTATCCGGGCTGAAGAAGGTGGAGCAGCCCGGCTGTGCGTTGATACCTAGCACGTCGCAGCAACAGTCCACCGAGGGAGCATATGGCCCAAACCCGACCAGGGAGCGGAACATGCGAGGTTTGAGGCGCAGATTCTGGCTGCGGGCCAACTCCAGATTGCGGCTGAGCCGGTCCACCCTGACGTTAAGCTCCCCGGCGATATGCTCCACCCGCACTTCGAACTGGTGCCGCACCACCAACAGTGCCAGCTGTCGGCTGATGGCCCGTCCGTCTGGGATGCGTGTGGAACCATGGTTGATGGCCGCTACCGCCTGGGTGTTGTCGCACCGGACCAGCACCCGGCGCCCCGCCAACCGTGGCGCCCAGGACTGCAGCACCCACAGGACCGCTGAGAGCTCCAGCCAGCCGATGTGCAGTCGTCGCTCCCCTTCGGACCAGTGGCCTTGCACCTTGGCCTGGTCCCAGGCCGCCCCGAAGCCCGCGCCACTCACATCTGTGAAGATGGTGGCGCCCTCTTCCCCCAAGAAATCCCCCCTCACCAAGTCCAGATTGGCCAAAAGACAGCGCTTGACACCGTCCCAGACGGAGGCGTCCGGCAGAGGACGTCCTGCCAGAAGTGAAGGTCGTCAAGAGCCCCCTCAGGAAGGGCGACTGATGACGGCGGGGGGTATTGCAGGGTGCTGAGAGCGTCGTAGATGCCCTGCAGGAAAGTGTAGCCCCATCTGCATGCTCGCACCACAAACGTGAGGCGGCTGGCGAGTGTCTGAAGGTCTCCTCGGTGGACGGGCCCTGTGGCGGCCGCCTCTAGGATGGCGGTGACTTCACTGGCATATCGCTGCTGCTTGTTGGGGGCCATACGCATCTCCATGCGGATGGTGTCGAAAAGCATGCCCAGGAACTCCAGCTGCTGCAAGGGGGCGTCGCGCCCCCGGTCCTTGCTGGCCTTCCACTCAAGGCCCAACTCAGTGCCGATGTCGTCGAGGACCTGAAAGGCGCCCTGGATGTCCGCGTGCGAGTGACCCATGATCATGAAGTCATCTACGTAGACGAAGATGTGCACCTGCAGGCCCCGGCAGTCGCACTCCTGCTGGAAAATGCTGGCAGCGGCGGTGGTAAGCTCCACGAAGATCGCTGGGCTTTGACTGGCGCCGAAGGGAAGGGAGACCCATCGCTGCAGCGCGCCGGTGGAGGGGTGCCGGAAGGCCATGAATCGGCGCGCCTCTGGTGCCAGCTTGACGTGGTGGAACCCGCTCGCCAGGTCGCGCTTCCCCAGAAAGCCATTGGCTGGCAGCTGTTCTTGAAGTGTGGCGAGATTGGGGAGCGGACAGGGGAGCTTGGTCATGCACTCATTGACCCCAGACTGAGAGGGGTCGGTTATGGGACGGATGGAGCCATCTGGCTTGAGGACGACGTGCAGGGGGTTGACGACGGCCGCGAAGTCGGTCTCGAAGCCATGCACGCTGGGGTCATATTGCTCGGTGACGCCGGAAGCCAGGAGGTCATCAGCCAGGAGGTCATCGAAGTGCTGGCTCATGTCGGCGAGGTGCGGGAGGATAGAGGGATAGTTACGGAGGTGGTGGGACGGGTTAGGCTCCGTGTGGAATGTCCAGACGGCCACGTTGCGGGACGCTGGCGTATCCACTCCATACCGCAGCCATGCCTCGGTGACGAGCTTGCTGCCCGCCTGCCCGAACCAAGGGCGCCCCGGGGCCGGATGGAGCGGTTCAGGGATCATGGCCGCCGCCACTAAGGCTGACGCCTGTGCTACCGCTGCTGCAGCGGCCTCTGCAGCCACTGCGTCGGAGACCATCTCAAGTTGCTGCAGAGGCGCGGGGCCTGCACCTACACTCATCGAACGGGACAGGGGGGGGGGAAAACGAACCAAGCACCCCAGGAACAATCAGCTGCCAACCTCCTTATCCCCGAGGAGGGGGCCGATATCGCAGTGTGTGCCCCATCTATCGCCCAACGGGGAGGGCAGCTCTAACCCGCAGTGTGTGGGGGCCCTCCAACTGGGCTAAACGTCAGCAAGACGCCTCCTTATCCCCGAGGAGGGGGCCGATATCGCGGTGCACGCCCCGTCTATCGCCTGACGGGGAGGGCAGCTCTAACCCGCAGCGTTTGGGGGCCCTCCAACTGGGCTAAACGTCAGCAAGACGCCTCCTTATCCCCGAGGAGGGGGCCGATATCGCGGTGCACACCCTGTCTATCGCCTGACGGGGAGGGCAGCTCTAACCCGCAGCTACTTGGACGCGGCCTATCCATACGCCGAGGTAGCCTGAGCCAACGTCGGACCTTCCCACAAGCCGCCCTTGCAACCCCAGTAGACAACATACCCGTCAGCCCGACGCTACCATTTACTGCAACCTGGAATCACGGTTTCGCACTGCCAACATTTGCAACAACGGCTGCGCATCAAGAGAACCACAAAAGCACATTCCCTCAGCCCTAATCACACACGCTCCTCATGCAATCCACCAACCACCCAAACAACTCGATGCCACATTCTAGGTTGCCACATTCCGCAGCCTATGGGCGTGGCCCATATGCGTTGCCTAGCTGTCACGGCAAGGTCACAACCCAAGCTAGGCATTGTAAATATCCTGGTATTTGCCCGGGATAGGTGCCACAGTGCTCAAGCAAAATTAGGTTCGTCCGTTTGGTCCTAACACGTATCACGCGTCTATGTCCGCCAGGCTCCGACCTCTCACTGTCCATCCAGGTAGAATCACCTTTTCGCTCGCAATACATAATGCCGCACTCTCACAACGCTGTGACGTTATACCCAACAGGTGCGCAAAGCATACCAATAAAATCTCTCGAATCACTTGCCGCGTGCGGCGAGAGCGCACAGATAGATGCCCTAAGGTCATGAAACGCCCTGCGTACTTAATAAGCGCGGATACGAGGTATCGGATGCGTTAGCCTACACGAGACCTCCCTGGGTAGAAACAAGCAACAATAGCAGCAGGAATGATCAATGACAGCGGCATGCCTCCCCAACACCAGCATGCCATGCTCGCTGTCCTGCCTTACCTGTCTAATGAAAACCAGGTCCGTTCAATACTGGATGACTGAATACCGTCGCGGCAGACTGCTAACGTCAGCACGGACTGGAGCTCTGCTATGAGGAGCCACTCCCCGGTGATGCAGTCCGCACAGGTCCCCCGGCCCTACCGCAAGAAACTGGTACGCTAGCCAGGACGGCCTCAACGAACGCGCGCAAAGCGAATGACCACATTCTCAGTGTAGTCAGCTGTCCTTTGTATAAACAATACAAAATGCGCAATTGTTGTCATGGTCGTTTGCACTCATAAAGCAAGGCGGCTGCGAGCCCGGAGCACTGCCCGCAGCCGACTCTGTCACCCGGCGACAGATGTAGGGCCAAGGCTCCGGTAATGTCTGGGAGCTCCTCTCAGGGCTGCACCACAATACAGAGATTGTCTCTATATTGTTATAAGCGAAACTGCCAGAAGAAAGGTCGTCAAATCCCCACCGCTGACCAACGGACAATAACAGCGGCAGCTAGCAGCTGTTTTGGTAAAGAGAGCTCGTATCAACCAGCAGCCGAATCCGAGATCGCCCGGAAGATAATTCGACAAGACGAAACACCACCGATCAAATAGCAGTTCAAAATAACAACCAACTAACTGCACCGTACGACGCCGCTCTGACGCCCCTCTTCAAACCACATTTTCGGCTACGCCTAAAATAAGATTTCTAGAATTAATCTTTCCAACACCGGAATTGGTGATACGGTTTGGTGTTACCCCGTCCACTTTTTCCCATTGCCACCGAATTGGTGAAAGCCGCCAACCGGACTGCCCCCCGTTCACTGTGGGCCCTCCGAGGCGCCCCAGGCCCACATCAACCAATCTGCAGTCGCATGTAAACGTTTCTAGATGCACGCCGTCGCATACAGCATCGCGCGCGCGCAGCAAAGTGACCCTTAAACGGCGGTCCGGCACCCGACCTGGATCCAAAACGTACAGGGATTGGTGATGGCCGCCGCTCAATCCCAGCCCGGATTATCCTTTGCTACTGGATTGGTGATTTTCACCAATCCGGTGTCACCAATCGGCCATAGCGATACGGTACCACCCTGTAACAACATCATACACAGCTTGGGGATGGTAATTATCTTATCTCGACACCAACCCTTAAACCCCAAAACCCAAAAACCCTAAAACCCTAACTCTCCCTGATAGCGTACCTATAATACTCGGCCGGGGTTCCCTCCAGGCCCGGGGACTTATTGTTGCGCATAGCCTTGAGACCACGAACAATTTCGGCCTCCGTAAAGTCCTTGTTGAGCCACGCAGCTAATTCCACCGGTGCATCACCCGGTCCTCGTCCTGCGGCAGGAATCCTGCCATTTAAACTGGATACCTTCATTGCAGTGTTGCTCGCGTCTCCCGCACCTTTAAGCACCTTGGAAAAATGCTCGGTAAAGCCATTAATATCTGAGATCCCGCAAGGAGGCGGTTTTCCCCCACGCAGCCATGTCCACAAGCCGCGTGGGTTAGACCGGGCGTCCTTAATCCTCCTCCGAATATTTTCCAATTCAATCTCCTGAATAGCGGCCTTTCTGGCCTTCTTAAAGGCACGGTGCTTGGCCTTCCAGGTAGCCCTATGTATGGCCGGCAGCTTGCCCGAGACGGGGTCCCTGATCTCCATACGGAAACTCATCATATCATTCCACGCAGCTGCACAGTCCTCATTCCACCAGTCACGCTTCACATAATTCACCTTCCCCCGTGCAACGCCGGACGTCTCCCTAGCATACGTCCCGATTAGGGTGCGCAAGTCATTCATGCTTTCATCACAAGGGGCCCCTTCGCCAAGCTTCTCCTTGAGCGAGTTGATGGTCGCTGTAATAATGCCATCTGGGTCACGAAAAAGGTCAGTGAAGCGGCCTTTGCGTGAAATATCAAAAATAGGGATGTGTTCACGTGCCAGGTGAGGCTTCCGACCCCTGGCCTCAATAGGCATGCAGCCGAAGGATAAGCGGGTGATGATCACTCAGCACATTGGATTCACCCCATAAGTAAGATCTGAGGACTTTAAGGGTGTCTATCTGCTCGAAGAGCCCATAAGATGCAAGGCACAGATCAATTGAACTGTGACCCTTAGTTCAGTTGAGGTCGGGCACATCAACAGGTGCACGCCCATTGACAATGGCTAGGCCTGTGTCAAGACACATTTGTGCCAACCGGAGGCCAAAACGATTAACTCCGTTATCTCTACTTTTACGGGGAACGCCGCCAAGGGAGTGTGCCCCTACTCCATTTACTTCGGGCAAGTCTAGAATAGCTGCCGCACGGGCATTAAAATCACCTGTGATAAGCACCTCATCGCCCACGCACTGCAGTCTATCTAGCTTGCCAGTAATGCTTTTAAAAGCAGCGAAAGCGAAAGTGACCTCACTATATGCCAGGCCACTCCCATCCGTGCTGCTATAAACGCTGGACCCCTGGGGCGAGCAGTAACCAGCCCCAAGTAGAAGCGCCCGACCCCCTGGGAGAACGCTAGGGAACCGCAACCAGACAATTTCCAACCCAACAGGTGCATTCGTTAGGCCCACTTCTCTCACACAGGGGGCCAGCTCATAACGCACAAACACTGAGACCCCGCCTGACCTTCGAGAGCCTGTGCGCGGTGCCCTAGTGCATGCGAAATGGCTATAGCCCTGTAATACTCGTTGTTCCTTTGCGCGCTTCCGATTAACGGGCGCCTTCAAGGACGATTACATCATGGTTAAGGAACCCACGAATGGCCGTAATCTGGTAGAGCTTGCCTGCCGAGAAGGCATGGACGTTCCAAATAAGGAAGCGGATGCTATTACCTCCCCCCCCCCCGTGCTCCCTAGTTAGCCGTCTGCCTCAGCTCTGTGGCCATTTTGCGAACGTCTACCTTCGCCCAGACGCCACTGTCTGGCTCGGTGAGCGCCATAAGGTGGGTACCTCGCCATGAAGGGGCTCTCTTACTACCAAGTGCCGAAACACGTCCTGTTGCCCTTTTTGCGTGTTTCGCCAAGTGCTGTAAGCGCCAGTGTCACCCGCACGGCCGGGAACGACTCGTCCACCCCTTCCTCCGCATCCAGGCCCAGCTGCTTCCGTAATGTGTACAGGGCATGATATGCCGCTGGGGTTGTCGTGATGCGAACCCGCTGGGTTGTCCGCTTGCTGCTGCGTGCAGCGACGTTCGGGTGTGCCTCAACGGTGCAATCTTCGGACGCGACCCTCATGTCCATAAGCTGCCGTAGACGCAGTTGCAGTTTCTGGATCACTTCGTCCTGCGTCCAAGCAGCTGGCAGTCCGTCGGTGACCAGTGCACCCCGGTCCATATGTCCATCGGTGCTGCTGGTAGTCTCAGCCAGCGCTTGGGGGGGTCTGGGAGCGCAATTGGGTCAGCGCAAGACAGGGTAGCGCCTTTCAGAAGCAGCAGCACTGGGCCGTAGTTGGACAGCGTGTTACAGCGTGGTTGGCTAGGGGCATGGCCCACTCACTGAGCATGCTGAGCGTGCACTGGTGAACTCTGTGCTAAATTCGGGGTACTAATTTCTTGAGTTTAGGAAGTTGGCAGGATGCGTAGGATGAGTAGGTTATTATGTTCTTTGGTTTGGGGACCCAATAGGGCGCTGAGCACGGTGGAGCAAGCTGAGCCTGTAGTGTAGCAGCTGGCTGCTGAAAAGGCCTCTCGAGATGCTGGTGAAGCGTTTCGCTCGTATTAGTAGTTCTTCAAGGTGCCATACTGTGTACCAACTACTGCAACTAGCCTGAGCATGCTCACTACCGGTGCACCGGCAAATTCGATGCCTCCATGCACCCTGCTTCATGCACTGATGACCCTTTAGGATTCACCTTAACACATTTCATTCATAATGGCATGCATGTGCGCTGCGAGTCGTGCCATAATTATTTATTTGTCGTTCTACGTTTCCCTTTGTGTGTGCAGGCAAGCAGGCCCTGGCTGGGCCTTAACTCTATTTATTGATGCTGGCTAGCGCCGCTGGGCTAGCACTGTGTTAGAGATAAGAGTCCTTCAGTGAACACATCACTCGCTCATATCGTTACACAAGGAGAGAGAGAGAATGGATACGCAAGCAGTATATAAGCATACCGTAGCCAATCCTGATTCGATGTCGTATTGGGATAACGGCAACTAATCAAACTACCGAAGTGTCAAGCCTGAGTGTACCTAAGGACACTTCCCAACACTCCCACGCGCTCAGGACTTGCACACGTTCATCGCCATACGATGCTTCACAAACTTCTCAGTTGGTAAAGGCTTAGTTAGACAATCAGCTACCATATCTTCCGACCTGCAATCTACCATCACAAGCGTACCGAGCGCTACCTGCTCCCGTACAAAATGATAACGCACAGAGATGTGCTTCGATTGCTTCGAAACAACCGGATTGCTCGCCAACCGAATTGCGCTCTGACTATCGCAATTGATCTGCGTTGGCTTGAGGTCGTAGCCGAGATCGCCAAGTAGTTGTCGCAACCATAAGGCCTCCTTAGCAGCTTCCGAAACAGCCATATACTCAGCCTCCATAGTGGACGCAGCCACGCTCCGCTGAAGTTTACTAGCCCAACTAACTGTACCACCATGAAGAGTAAAGACGTAACCAGACGTTGACCGCCGCGAGTCAGCACAACCCGCATAGTCAGCATCACTATACCCAACCAACCTCTCATCTGCTCGTTCACCACCTAGGACTAATCCGTAATCGGACGTTCCTGCCAAATAGCGTACTACCTCCTTCGCCGCTTTCCAGTCCGACCTGCTAGGATTCGACATGTGACGCGCCAAAATTCCCACGGCTTGTGCAATGTCGGGACGAGTACATCCAGACACGTACAACAAACTGCCAATTAACTGGCTATACGGGAAACGCTCTCGATCCAGCCGATCTTCCACTGCAGCATTAGGTAAGACGGTTCCAGGACTCATAGGTACAGACTTCGGCCGTGCATTAACCATGCCATAAAGACCCACAATGTCCTTAACCATACGCCCTTGAGAAACGGTAATTACCCTGTTCGCTCGATCGCGCTTAAGGGTAAGACCCAAAAATAAACTTGCCTCTCCTAAGTCGCGGCACTCAAACCGCCGCATGATAGCCGCCTTTACTTCTGAAACGGCTCTCTCGCTCCAAGACGCAATCAAAACGTCGTCTACATAAACCAAAAGATACACAACCTCGCCTTGTTTACGGCGAACAAATAAACTAGGGTCCGCACTCGACGCGACAAAGCCCATCGACACTAATTCTTCACATAACGTGTCATACCATGCACGCGACGCTTGACGAAGGCCATACAAGGCCTTATGGAGAAGACAAACTATCCCCGGGCCTCCCTCTTCAAAACCGGGGGGTTGTTTGACATAAATTTCCTCCTCCAAATCGCCATTCAAGAACGCTGTTTTCACATCTAATTGGTGCAATTCCATGTCTGCGCCAGCTACCATGGACAAAAAGGTGCGCAAGGTAGTGTGACGACTCACCGGCGCAAAAACCTCCTGAAAATCCACACCCTCG